CCCCCCCCCCCCCCCCCCCCCCCACTCACACACACCCCTCATCTTTCCCTCCTCCTCAATCCACCCCTTCCTGGTGTAGTTGTTTTCGACTGTAAGCGGACCTCGCCGTGATCCATGTGAGAGAGAAAAAAAAGAAGAAAGAAAAAAAAGAAAAAGACGCGGCTGGCTCTCCTCCTCGCGCAAAACACCAACACAACCTCACACAATCAACCAGCGCACAACATATTCCGCCTCAGTTGTTTTTTTTAACCCACTGAAAACCAAGTAGACAAAACACAAAATCATCACTCACCTGCTGCCAGTTATCCTCCAACGAAGGCATTGCGGAGAAATAACCAGTGTCATGAACGAGTTGGAGTTCCTGGAAAATACCAAAATTCGCCAGCACATCCATGCTTGATGTAAAAATAAATAAATAAATAAAAAAAAACTGCAGAAGTCCGGAATCCAAAGGATGGGGACGTTATTTCTTTCTTACGCACCTCCTTCTCACACTAGACAATTAGAAAAAAAAGAAAAAAAAACTAAAGCTGGGTAAACGCCAGGAAACATAAAGAGTCCACCTGACCTGTTTACTTAGATCCTTAACTTCAAATGGAGAAAAAAGCTGTGGAAGAAAGTGTGTTATTTTGTGTCACTCCCGGTGCTGTTCTCGGTCCGCTCCACGCACGCTGTCACGCCTCTCTCCTCAGCCCAGACTCCGGGATGCCAGGTCTATTTCCGCATTGCCAGATTGCCAACGGGTCTGCCGGGTTGCCAGGTCCGCTTCTCCAGATGCAGACCGAACCCCGCTGCAATCTGGGCAACCGGCGCGAGAGGGAGGGGAGGGGGGGGGGGGGGGGGGGGGGGGGGGGGGGGGGGGGGGGGGGGGGTCGGGGGAGGAGCTTCCGTGTCAATCAATTTCATACGTGACCTAATAAGGTAAATAAGGTTGATGAAGTCACTGGTGTCCAATTAAACGAGACGCTGAGACAAAATCAGTGGGCGGAGCATTCAGAAAAGCCGGGCCGCTATTGGCTGAGCGGGGCTGTCGCTCCGGCTGCAGATGACAGTGAGGGGTGAGTTATTTTTAGAGATCTATATAAAAAGCAGCAGCATTCCTGTCTCGGTTATATCAGGCTGCGCAGACAGTCGAAGCGATGCCTGAGTGGGAAAAGTTAAGTTGCTCTCATTCTTGCGAATCTGCACAGAGAAGCAAGTGAGCCTCACAAAGCAGCAGCAGCTGGCAGGAAGGGTGAAGTGCCATTTAAAAAAAAAAATGGAATTGTGACAGTCACAACAGACTTCAGTGTGTTTTTCCTGCATGGAAAGTAGGGGATGCAGAACCCGGACGACCTAAACTCGGATTTGCAGAACTGTTTAGTCCACAGGGATTCTCTGCCTTTATGCTTGTGGAGCAGAAATATAATATTTAGCATTTTTTGTTTCTACACCAACAAATTTAATGCAGGATTTTACTTTAGATTTTACCCACTCTTTCAGACTCCTCTAAAGTACCATTGTATAAACACATTTTTATGAGAAAACAACTGGATGTGAACATTATACTAGCATTGATATATAACAAACCTTCCAATACTAAGCAAGTCCCCAGGGAAAGTTTTTTTTTGTCTTGAGGTAAGACATAAAATGTAAGTGCCAACATATTAGCGATGAATTGTGAATAGCTGCGACACACTGGTCCCAACTGTCAAACACTGAGACAAACAAAAGTGAAACTTTTTTCAATTCATTTTCTGTTAATTTAACTCCACCAAACTTATTGCTTCGCCTGTAACAATTAGGCTTGCCTCTTTTTCCAACAAAAAGGTCAAATAAGCTCATAATCAGTTGGGTTTTAAAAGCATTGCAGCACACTGGGTGAATGTAGCTTCTTATTTAGTGGGCTGTGAGGCTTCAGCACCAATAGGTGGCAGCCTGACTGTGAGTGGACAAAGACTGCCGCCTATTGGATGTTTACAGTAACTGCAAATTGAGGCTAATCTTACAAATTAAGGACAACTATACATTTGGATCAAGTAAAATTGAACGATTACAATCAACCAGTAGTATTATTTTGACTTTTCACATTAATCTTTTAAACTAAATTAGATATTAGGTCCATCCATCGTCAGCATTGTTTAATTGTTTTTAAATGTGGTGTAGTATAGGTGGACTTTGCAAGATAGGATTTTTAAAACTTAATTTTACATTGTGGATCAAATTCTGTTTCAAACTATCACACTGTTCTCCTTGGACTATATAAAGTGGCTGTTGATCTCTGAGATCGATTGATCTCTGTTCAATGTATCTCTGATTCTTCAGTGTCAAGCCAATAGTTCCGTCTGCAGATTTGGGACGGTGTCTGTGTAGAAAGGCTTCTTATCCCCGTTTAACAAGCTAATGTTATGAAAACATAACATTAGCTTGTTAAATAGAGGCATGCATTACCTTAAGATAACTCTCATTCTTGATTATAAGGTGAATGCAATTCTTGATAAGGCGAATAGCTTTTTTACAGCCTAATACTTTACATTTGTCGTTCAGTTTATTTACTTAAGTAGGTGCAGACTGGACATACAGATTTTTTTATTTATTATTAGGTATTGCCAGTTTTGGGACTAAGTTGAGAGCTTTGGGTATTTTGTTTAAGTGAAAGAATTTTAACGATCAATTAAAATTCCAAAATAAAAAAGAACTGTCATTTTTTGAAGGGTGATGTCTCATTACAGAGCTTTATACAGTACATTCTCAAGTGGTTCTCTAAATGATGTTCCTCATCAAAACTGCTTATAGTTTTCATTCCAAAATCAATAAAACAAATAGTCCACTTGGAATAAAAGAATCTGAGTCACAATGAGCACTCCTGTTTTTTTTCCTCTTCTAAATGGTGATTCAATAGAGAAACAGCTGATTCTTTTTCTGAAGGACATCCTGAAGACATGTTGAATTTATTTTCATCTTATTTTCACCCCTTTTCCATCATAGACTCTTATTTAGCTAGTGGGGTGGAAATAGTCCTACGTATTAATTATCTTTTGGCCTTACTACTTTCAATAGTAAGGTCTTAAAATCACAAGTGTAAGACATTTTGACTTAAATATCTTAAACCATGTTGAGAAAGGGGACCCTTTTCTCAACAATCCTCCAATATCTTAGAGACTAAGATTTCCATTGACTCCTGGGGGTAGTTTGATGGGTCCCATGAGAAGAGAACAAATTATAGATGGATAATGAGCACCTGAGAAAAATCCCACAGGGCAAGCGGAGTGAACAACTGCTGATGAATTCTCAGGTGACGGATTCCAGAGCAGTCTTCCGGAGTGGAAAACAAACTGGAATGGAACTCAAAGAGTTGTACAAGATTAATGGCAATCTTTGGCAGTGGAAAGTAGCAGTTCAACTGAAGTAAATTCAGTTAATTCAGTAGTCACACTAGTTACACTGAATGCAATTAAAAAGCATCAGTAAGAATACACCTAAGGGATGTTAAACTAAGGACCTTTAATTTTCCAAATATGGAATGCATGAAATGTCAGATTTTTCAATAAAGAACAATGAAAAGTCTATATGCCGTCTACATACACTTAACTGCTTACCTACAGCTCTATACCAAAAATTTTAAACACGTTTCACAAGAACATTTGATACAAAACATTTATTGAACATGTATTGAATGCGTTTCCATGTTTTCTGTAAAAACAGATGCTGAGGAAGAGAAATCTTTCACAAAGTCACTTTTATTCTTATTAATTAGATACCAGTATATCAGTAACAAAAGAGGTAGAAAACTTTTTTTTTTTTTTTTTTTTTTTTTAAAGGAAAGAAGAATCTTGGCTAATGTCTCTTAGTGGGCCTAAAATACTAATCACATTTGATTTAATCACCCTTCTAAAATTGACCAAAGAAAATGACTGGACGGTAGGTAAAGAGCTTACGGTGGTCTTTATGCAACATGAAATTGTGTTTTTATTAAATTTTTTTGTTAAGTGATGCGAATCATATGAAAACTGTATAAATACTGTTGATGTTAACCAAAAAAACAAAGTAAACTACATGCAATAATCTAGAATCCAAAATACATTCCGTCAAACTTTATGATATATAAAAACATTTTAAAAGTTCATATAAAGAGTATCTGAGTATCAAAATCTGACAATAAACTTGCAAAGCTGTTAGTTGAGCCAGTCATCGGCAACCACACTCATCCACCACCATGTCCTGGTAATGTCGAAGAACCACATTGTCATTGTTGTCATAGTAAAGCATGGAAATGGGGGACAGGTGGATGGGAACACAGCAGGGCTGAGGTGTGTCCTGTGGGTTTAGGGAGTGCACCAGGGTTTGTAGGATGGCATGATTGGTGCCATTGAGACTCTCGCTGAGTGGGAACGGGCACTCGCCATGGCAGTAGTTGGCCAGGTAGCCCTGAGGAGCGATGATCCAGTCCTGCCAGCCCACATCCTTGAAGTCGATGTAGAGGCGACGCGCTTTGCACACGTTGCTTGGGGTCACAGGGAGGTGGATGGCATTTCTCCTCTGCCTGAAGCGACACTGGTGGGGGTTCAGGGACACCGCCACCAGTGAGGCCTCAATCACTGGAAGAATGAGAGTTGGTTCCAAAGGAAGGACGTTACCAGGATAAAAAGGAACAAGCTCCTCCTCTGGTTTTGACCCATGAGGAATAAGCTCCAAAATCAAACCATAGTTGCGTCCGGGTTTGCGCCAGCTCTCTGCAAGAGATGTGAGATCCATGGAGATAGTGGAGGGCTCAGGTTGCAGCTGAACCGACTGCACCAGCAGGAGTCGACGGTTGGCCTGAGGGTCGGCTCCCCTCAGCGTGGCTCGGATTACTTTATACAGAGATACGCTGATGACTCGATGGGCCTGCAGGAGCTCCGCATGCCTGAGGGACTTCCAATGGAATCTGATTTCCAACTGAGCCAGAGACAGCAGCTCCACAGGTTGCAGGACAGACATGTTGAAGAAAAGCTGCTTCTCCAGACAATCATGACAGCTACTGCCCCAGCCCGACACCAGCCTGCCTGCAAAACGTCAGCAGAGAAGCACTTCAACAAGGACTCTTTTGAAATCTTTTGAGTGGAAAAAGGGGTGCCTGATAACATAGATCCTGGGAACTGTATGCTCACTCATTGCATTCTTTTTGTAGCACAAGCAAGATTTGGTGAGGCACCTTTCCTATATTGTTTACGACAAATACCTTCAATCGCAGGTTTTAATGTCATCTTTATTTAATCAAAGCTTCCTTGTTACCGTTTTAAATCACCAATTGTGAACATTGACTTTTAATCAGTACTTATGCTCAAATCATGGTCCATTTATTTTTTAAATGAACCTGACCTTATATTAACAAAGACACATGGTTTGTGAACACATGGCAACATGCAATTGTAAAGCTATTGTCATTTTAACACACAAATATTTTTATTTGCGCCACTAACTGAAAAGAACTTTGAATAAAGAAGACTGCAAGAATTGGAATACTTTAGGGTAGAGTATCAACTTCCACCAAAGGTTGGTGTATGAGGGTACCCTTTTTACATTACCTTGTACAATTTATATTTAACCAAAACTTTAGGTTTTCCAGCAGAAATATTTTCAGGTTATGCAAACAAATAGCTCATTTATACAAAAAAGAAAAAATGACCATGGCCTTTTTTTAAAACACCCTTTTAAAATGAGGTTAATGTGCAACAACAAAAACTGATTAATAGGTCTTGATTTATTGAGCTGACATTTTTAATTACCTTGGTCCTGAACGTATCGGATGATGTTACCGCGGACTCCGTACTCTGACACCGTGCAGTGGTCGCTCTCCCGGGCCTTGAGGTTCTCCGACACCCGGTACATCCTCCAGAGTGCCGAGGGTATAGGTCGCCGGGGTCGGTCGGCCCTTGGGGGAGCTGGCCGCTCGGAGAGCCCCAAAGAACTGAGCAAGAGTTGCTCCTGAGTCTTCGTTTCCGTGAGGAGCGAGAGAGCTGGCGCACTAACGACCGCCAACGCCAACAGCACAAAGGCAGCCATGTTGGGTCTCACGGTTTGCCGGTAAGAGACTCGGTGATTGCGCAGTTAACTATGTCGCTGAAGTTTGAATTACCCTCCCGGAAACTCGTCGACGCGCAGCTGGTTAATTATGTTAATGGGAAGCGGGCAGACGAGAGAAGATAAGCGAGGGGGAGGACAGGCACCAGAACGCTCAGACAAAGCTGATAACCTGGAAAATCTCACACCAAGTCAGGGCGGTTTCGATGGAGGGAAGATGTGATAAAGCAGGTCTAGTTTTCATTTGTTACAACGTGTGGCAGAGCTTAAAGCAGCCAGACAACAGTATTAACACATGAAAACTAGGAGATAAAAACTTACCATTAAAATTAAGATAGCCTACATCATTTATTTACTAATACCACCCACCCTGTATCTTTCAATGCCGTGGTTTTAAAGAGTCAACTTATTGTTACACTCTGCCACCAAACTTCTCCGGTGGGATTCAAGGTTTTGCCAGTAAGAAGCCGCACCCTCACACCTTCAGACTCTAACCATCCTCTCCATCCATTGTAATCAGACTCCTCTTTCTTAAAAGAGAACATTTTAGTAAGGTTGGGGAGATATTCAAAGTGCTCATTCTACCCCCTGACAATATTTTCAGTTAGGGTCAGCAGTTTTCCCCCAGGTCAAGCTCAACCTAGAATGGACCACTTTTCCTTTTTGGCTCATTTAATGTTTTTCCTTGAACATCCCTGACGTCACATCCTCCATGACTTCACCAGATTCCTCCCACATTCAAAGCCTGGTGTCTTTGTGCTCCTCTGCTTTCTTGTGCATTGGTTTGCGGTGTCCAGTTTGTAACTCGGACTCACGATATCAACTTTTACCTGCCTTATGTGCTGGAAACCATCTCTGTCAGATATACAGTTGTGTTCGAAATAATAGCAGTGCCTTTAGAAAAATGAGTAAATGTCAAAATTCTTCAAAGAAATTGTACTTTAATGAACACAGATACATTGGGGACACAGTACATTCTATTTCAAAGCAAAACAATTGCGCAAAGTCATCAAAACTAAAATAATAATAATAATATTTCAAATAAAGAAAGAAATGGCATGTTCAAAAGAATAGCAGTGTTGCCATCTTTCCTTGGAAACTCAAAAATGTACTGTACAAACAAAGAAATTCTTGATAAGTGAACCTAGCTGAGTATCCTAAACTAATATTTTGTTGCAAAACCACGGTTTCTGATGACTGCTTCACATCTGTGGTGCATGGAGTCAACCAACTTCTGGCATCGTTCCACAGGTATTGCAGCCCAGGATAATTGCACTGTATTCCACAATTCCTCAGCGTTTCTTGGTTTTGCCTCATGCACTGCACTTTTTATGTCAGCCCACAAGTTTTCAATGGGATTAAGGTCCGGGGATTGTGCTGGCCACTCCATCAGTTGAATCTTGTTCATCTGGAACCATGCTTTTGCTCGCTTGCTGGTGTGTTTGGGGTCATTATCCTGTTGAAAGGTCCACCTCAAACGCATTTCCTCCTCAGCATATGGCAGCATGACCTCTTCCAGGATCCTGATGTACTGGAACTGATCCATGATCCCTTGTATGCGGTGAATTGGACCAACACCATAGTATGAAAAACATCCCCATATCATGATGCTTGCACCACCATGCTTAATGGTCTTCAGTGAGTACTGTGGCTTGAATTCTGTGTTTGCAGGGCGTCTGACATACTGCCTGTGACCCTTAGACCCAAAAAGAACAATCTGGCTTTCATCTGTCCACAAGATATTATGCAATTTCTTTTCAGGCCAGTCAATGTGCTCTTTGGCAAATTGTAAACGCTTCTGCACATGTCTTTTTCTCAGCAGTGGGACTTTGCGGGGGCTTCTTGCTGGAAGGTTAACCTCAATAAGACGTCTTCTGATTGTCACAGTACTCACTGTCAACTGAAGGTCTTGCTTGATCCTCTTGGATCCCATCATTGGCTGAGTCTTCGCCAGTTTGGCTATTCTTCTGTCCATTCGAGGGGTTGTCTTTCTTTTTCTTCCTCGTTTTTCAGTTTTTTGCTCCCATTTCAGGGCATTTGAGATCATTTTAGCTGAACAGCCAATGATTTTCTGCACCTCTTTGTATGTTTTCCCTTCTTTAATCAATTTTTTTATTAGGAAACGCTCATTTTCAGAACAGTGTCTTGAACGACCCATTTTCCTTGTTTTTTCAGGACAAATGCACAGCCAGCATGCCAGTTGTCTTGATCCTTAAATACGGATCACCTGTTAACACCCTTTTTTCCCAGAATACCCTCCCTAATTGATGCCCTCTCTAATTGAACTCACCACTGCTATTTTTTTGAACACACCCTTTTCAGTTAATCATTCAATTTCACAGAATCCACAGTATGCATGGCTGTCCTGTTGGGTTTGTTGGTTTTCTATACCTTTATTTTACCCCCCAGAAACTTATCTGGGGTATAGAGTTTGACATGTTAATAAAACCAGTGATTTTCTTGCTGCTGTCGAGGCACTGCTATTATTTCGAACACAACTGTATGAATGTCTACACTGTAAGCAGCAGTCATTCGTACAGTATTCTGAGAGCAATTGCTCAGATGACATTTGGAATGTACGCATTGCTGCGAATTGCATCTCTATCTTTGGCTGTTAGGCTGGGGATGGATGGTACAGGAAAGATGGATAACTGACACCATACCATCTGCTCAGCATTGCATGCTGAGATTAATGACAAAAACGTCATATGAGGGGGAAAAAGAGCAAGAGAGGTGCATCATGGGAGGTCCCCAGCAGCTAGGCTTAGAGCAATACTCCATGGAAAGTTTCAGGGTCATCTGAGCCATCCCTAACAATAAGCTTTGTCAAAAAGGAAAGTAAGTTTTAAGCCTAATCTTAAAGGTTGAGAGGATATCTGTTTCCTGGATATGGCAGCTGCTTACACACGAGATGGGCCAGATAACGGAAAGATCACAAAACACAAAACTGAATTTATGAAAATGGTGAAACTGAAGGTTTTACTCGCTGGTGTAAAAGTTTGTGTGTGTGTGAACAGAGGGTAGCTGAGATCAAATAGCTCAGTACATATTGTAACCTCGGGTGTGAAAAACCCAAATATTAAAATGTATTCTTCCTTTAAACTTACTTCACTTTTAAACAATGTGGCTAATTAGAAATTTAACAATGCATTTATGGGTGGTGCAATATTGACCATAAAATACTACATTGCTAGCATTTACTGATGTTACTTTGATTTCATGCTTGTGTAAAAGATGATGTGCTCTTGAGAGTCCCCTCAGATAAAATTTGCAGTTGTGAAAATAAGTTTCTCACTCATTAATTTTTTTATATATAGTTGGCAATCAAAGAAGATTTTGATTTGAATCATTATTTACAGATATTTATGTTCAGTGGTCAGAGAAGAGCAGGACACTGTAGTGAAACATATTGGGTGGAGTGTCATATTCTTCCCTTCAAATACATGAATTAGTGAATGCAAACTTCTTCATTTCATTCTTTCAATATTAGCAGTATTTGTGCATAGCTTGAAGACATATTTGGCGAGAAACACACACACACACAGCATAAATATGCAGCACTGTATAGCAACAATACACGGACAACAAATATGATGACAACGCGCACTGACAGATCCTGAAGTAAAAGTCTCACTTGATCGTGCACGCTCACACAATCCTTCATACTTACACAAACCGACAGTGGGAAAAAAAACAAATATACACACTCAGCTTTAGCCTGATATCATCAGTGGGTTTCTCTATGAGAGTTTTGTGCTAATGTTTACCGTGACACATGTTTTTGTTAAAAACAGTTACTGAATAGATCTTTTCCACTTAATGGAAGACATATCCGTAATGAAAGACTTTCAATCCTGCAGGTAAAAAATCTGAAAACTAAAGTGGATATTTTGTCCACATTAGAGAAGGCAGAGCACTTTCCCCTCGGATGCGTTTTAATATTTCTTCTGACTATTTGTTACAAATTATTACCTTATATATTAAACCAAGAAAAGAAAAGAAAAAAATCAGAAACTTACCTTTCACCCCATGCAAAGATTAAATTTCTAAACAAGCAGGACAAGCTGGATCTAGTAGTTTAATAACCAGCAAGCACCAACATCGGTTGTTGAAAATGTAGCAAATCTTCCAATAATTCAATTTAAAATTAATTTATATTGTTTGAAATAAAGGCTCCAACTAACATGACTACACCAAAGCACCGTAATGATAGTTATCTTGAAAAACAAAAACATGGACTTGTTTTTAAAATGTTCACCGTAAAAGATCAGATAAGTGCTGTCAATAATTGTTACATGGCACACTGTAAATTTTTCTGTGAACCAGTTTCCATCTTAAGTGCTCTCTATCTCAAGTTTTATTTTATTTTATTTTTTTAAACAAAACAGCTTCATTCCAGGTGCTCCACATCTGTCAGGTCCACCATTGACTTGCCAGTTTTATATGGCCTGGTTACATATTACTTTAATGTCCAATGAGAGGAAGTTTTTGTGTGGGAATGGCTTGGCAGAAGAGTCTTAACATTTACAGATATGTCCTGAAAGTGATGTTTTGGATGACATGTTTTCTCATATGAAAAAAGCAGCCCATTCTGCTTTATAATCATCATGGCAAAGTATGAAATACAAAAACCACCCGTGTGGCTCAGCTCATTGCATGTATTCAGACCGAAAGTATCTAAGTAATTGATGACGGCATGCACAGATTTGGAGCTTTGGTTCATTGTGGAACAATAAGTGTGTTTTTCCCTTCAAATCGAAACAGCACAAAAGGCGCAAATAAGATTCATAACTGTATGTGTGTATATATACACACACACACACACACACACACACACACACACATACATACATACACACACACATATATATGCATACATATATACAGCCACATATATATATGTATGTGTGTGTATATATATATATATATATATATATATATATATATATATATATATATATATATATATACACATGAAAGTATATATACACACACGCACACTATATATGTATTTGGTGAGAGAAAGAGATTTTTCAATTACTTTTACACAAACTATGGCAATATTTTTCACCCATAAATTTCTCAGCAGTTGTCATTCATTCTTCACCATTCCATCCATAATGTCTCCAGTTATGTGAAAGTTTCATGCTCAGGAATGAGTCCATTGTGGCAACCTGCAGTGTTAGACGCTGCACGCACTCATGGACCTGATCAGCCCCGGAGCTCAGTAAAGTCCATCCAGAGACTGGGCTAAGTCCTACAGGGAAGGCGCGCACAATAAAAACTCCAGGGTCATGTAGCGTTGACCTCCATGATGTGGTCATCGGTGGCTGGCAACACTACAATTTGTTGCCCGTAGCTATGATTGAACACCTGTCCGGGACTGAAGGGCTCCAGACGCGGCATAGCTATGCTCTTCTGCTGCTGGTCACCACTACCCACAGAATGGATGCTGCCCCGGCTGCGGATGCTTGCTGTATCCCCCTGGTCATCCAGTGTCTTGTCCAGCAGTGACAAACTGTCATTCTCCACGCAGCTGTCTGAAAGTGATAAGAAACCAAAAAATTATGAGTTTTTGTGCAGAAATTGTTTGGTTTGAACCTTTCAGTGTTGGTGAAAACATGGTCAGTTTCTAAAAAGACTTACATTTGTCTCTGTTTATACTCACTGTTTATATGTTAAATGTAGTGCCTGATGTTTGCATGCTATTCCAGGTTGTTGCTCCCCAAATTTATCAGAAATTTTATATAAAGGGAAACCTGTTGTGTTGTGTCATATGATGCATGCGAATAGTTATCACCACTGCCAACAGAAAGCAACGTTGCAGCCAGATCTGACCACACTAATCATGGGCTGTAGTGTATTTAGTTAAGTTTATAAACTATGTATTGTCATGTGTGATACAGAGAATTAGAAGCAGCAGAGCACTATCAGTTATTTTCTGGTGGTAAATATTCATGTAATATTCCTACAGGTTACCGCTAATTAGTCAGAGGACATTTCACAAATAAATCTATGCCAGCAGATGGCATACATGTGAAATTAACAATAATTCAACATCAACTTTTAAATATTTCAATACACTTTTACATGTCTAAAATTATTTCTATGAAACAAGAAACAATTTAAAAAATAACCACGTTTCCACATAAGTTGAGAAAAAATTCCAAGGCAGCAACAACTGGCTAACTTTTGACAGCAGAGTGCTATGAGCTTAAGTTTCTATCCTTTTACTAATGGTAATAGAAATGTGTATGTGTAAGTTTGCATTCACGTATTTTTACCAGGGTCTGATTGAATGGCCACGGCAGCACTGTGGGGCAGGTACTTGAGCACTTTGATCTTGGGGAAAGGCAGGTGTCCGGCAAACAGAGGCATCACCTCAATCTGAACCTTGTGTGTGCAATTCGCTTTCATAGGCATCAACACCATCCCCGAACTCTTCCCACAAACTGCCCAGTTGCTGCTGCTGTCGGCCACTGTGGAGACAGAGGTACGTCAACAAATCATCGTTATTCTTCATCATTACTTTAATTCTTCATGCATTCTATTTCAACATATATATATCAGACTTTGTAGGGTTCTGCTCAGAAAACCCAGTTGGTGACGTACCTTCATACATGAGTTTGGTGGTTTTCAGGCAGTCACCGTCAGTCTTGCTGTCCTCTGCTACCTCTCCCTCGGCAGGTTCCGTCAGTCGTGTTATAGATACCTCGAACCCACAGAGGAAACCAGAACGACAGTGCTGTTCACCAGCAGGAGGCGATATCTTCCCTCTCACACTGTACAATGTCTGACAAATACAAAGAGAGGTATGGTAGGAAAGTCTCAGATCACAGCCGTATTTCCAACATGAACACCACACAAAAAAAGCTTTTTATTATTTTTTTTTAACATGAAATGTGACTTTGTGGCCTATTATCATGGACCCATAGAGGAAATACAAGTGAGCAAGAAAGAACAGAGCAAATAAATGGACTTACAGTGACTCCCTCGAGCTGGAACTGGTAGTGGAAGGGTTTGAAGGCAGAGATGTCTTTGTTGACAGGAGAGAAGTTGGCAGAGAACACACACTGCAGACACGAGGGCAGCTCATCCTTCCACCTCACCTCCCACAAGCAGAACACACTGTGCTTACTGCACAGAAGCTACACACAAAAGCAAACTCAACGTCAGAGAGAAATCAAAGATGATGTATTCTTTATATAAAAAATAAACACCTGTAAGATCCACTGAGAATACTCTCAGAAGAACTGAAGACCATCTAACAGTCATGTACAGGGGTTGGACAATGAAACTGAAACACCTAGTTTTAGACCACAATAATTTATCAGTATGGTGTAGGGCCTCCTTTTGCGGCCAATACAGCGTTAATTCGTCTAGGGAATGACATATACAAGTCCTGCACAGTGGTCAGAGGAATTTAAGCCATTCTTCTTGCAGGATAGTGGCCAGGTCACGACGTGATGCTGGTGGAGGAAAATGTTTCCTGACTCGCTCCTCCAAAACACCCCAAAGTGGCTCAATGATATTGAGATCTGGTGACTCTGCAGGCCATGGGAGATGTTCAACTTCACTTTCATGTTCATCAAATCAATCTTTCACCAGTCTTGCTGTGTGTATTGGTGCATTGTCATCCTGATACACGGCACCTCCTTCAGGATACAGTGTTTGAACCATTGGATGCACATGGTCCTCCAGAATGGTTCGGTAGTCTTTGGCCCATCTAGCACAAGTATGGGGCCAAGGGAATGCCATGATATGGCAGCCCAAACCATCACTGATCCACCCCCATGCTTCACTCTGGGCATGCAACAGTCTGGGTGGTAGGCTTCTTTGGGGCTTCTCCACACCGTAACTCTCCCGGATGTGGGGAAAACAGTAAAGGTGGACTCATCAGAGAACAATGCATGTTTCACACTGTCCACATCCCAAGATTTGCGCTCCTTGCACCATTGAAACCGACGTTTGGCATTGGCACGAGTGACCAAAGGTTTGGCTATAGCAGCCCGGCCGTGTATATTGACCCTGTGGAGCTCCTGACGGATAGTTTTGGTGGAAATAGGAGAGTTGAGGTGCACATTTAATTCTGCCGTGATTTGGGTAGAGGTGGTTTTATGTTTCTTGTATGTCACCCATAATGTTGTGTGCATTGCAATATTTTGAGCAAAACTGTGCTCTTACCCTGCTAACTGGACCTTCACAGTCTGCTTTTATTGGTTCAATGTCAAATTAATGAAGATTGGCCACCAGGCTGGTCCAATTTAGCCATGAAACCTCCCACACTAAAATGAGAGGTGTTTCAGTTTCATTGTCCAACCCCTGTATTTTGAGTGTGTTGCCCCTCTTATGGCTTTAGGGCCAGAGCAATAAAGGGATTTATAATTCAAAATTAAAAGCTTTTTTAGACAGTTTTAACACCTTGAACAAATGGGTGCCAATGAATATTTTTTCTTCTTATTCTTGGCATGTTAAAGCGTTGGTACATTGTTACTGCCATCATTTACTACTTCAGTCTTCTCAGCTTCCACAACTGTAGTGTTAGTAAAAATGGAGCTGAAAAATGAAGTACTGCGATACAAAACAGACACTATTCACATTACAGCCGTATTGCTGTCTACCTCATTATCAAAGACTTGATTTACTTTGTGAAGCCGAATAACCTCAATTTTATGCAGAATTGAATGCCTATAAAATAAAATTCCTTAGAAATAATAATAGTGTTTTTTTAAATTAGCTTGACCTGCACAATTTAAAAACTGAAAAAAATCAGGAGCTTGGGTTAATATTTTAGCACTTAACCGAACATTTAGACTGGGGTTGGGGTTGCTGAGAGTACAGTTCGTACTGGATCTCTAATGCTGGATTTACACAATACTAAAAAAAAAACAAAAAAAAAAAAGTCTTTCAAAGGTTTTTTTTTTCTTCTCAAGACCACATTCACTTTCTTAATAAAAGTGTTTATAGATCCAGTCATCTGGCCTTGAACTCACCCTTCCTGCAAACTTCCCATTGTAAAATTTCAACTGTGGGTCTTAGAAGGTTAAAGATTTTCAAACATCTGAAGATGTCACAGAAATTGTCTTTTGGGTGACTGTCATCAACTGATTCTGAAGCAACACTTCAGCACCTTGTGACTGAGGACTGGAACAGTGATCACAAGCTATTTCAAGATCTTACCAATTAGTCCCGACTCCCTAAATAAACATCCATCCATCCATCCATTATGAATTTTAAAATGTAGATTTACACACATGCTACAACAGAAAATAATACAAATGTTTCCTTTTTTTTTTGCTTTCTTACCTGATGTGTTTTAGTGTTCAAGGACTGTAGCTCCAAAGATGCATGCTGTTTCTCTGTCAGTTTCACGTCTGCTAATGTAAAGCTGACATCCGACACATTTTGCACACACACTTGGATGTATTTTCTGTGAAGTGAAATCAATTGACACATTCCAGATAAGCCGTTGAGAAAGGAAAAGAAAACACATAATTTTACTTTTATGTTAATAAAATATTACATTTACAATAATCAAGCTATCCGTCCCAGAACATTTACTGTCTTGCAATATGTATATATTTAAAAGGAAAAGATCACATATTGCAGCTTATACAGAAGTTTAAATCCTGCTTTCAGTTACATTTACCCATCGGACAATTTCGATGTGTCTTCTGGGAATGTTTTGTGAAATGTACACACATTTCATTATGATGGGAGGCTCACCTGTTACCAGCAGAAAGCAGTGAGTGTTTGGTCTTAAAAGGGATGTAAAAGGTGAGGGAGAGCAGCGTGGAGTAAATAGACCATGGGCAGTCAACAGACATCTGTAAACAGACAGATAAAAAGTATTTCCCTTAAATCAGAAGGTATTAAAAATAAAACGACCACATTTAAGCATCAAACACAGCTTCATAATGAACTGCTATGTCTGGTCACAGTCCTATACCATGCAAAAATATTCTATTCACCTAACAGAAAATAAAAACTACAAGTCAGAATAAAATGGTTAACTTTTACAGATTATGCTCAAAGCTGGACCAAATGTCCCAACTGCTGCATAACTCTGTGCACATAAGTGATAACTCAGTTGATCATCTAAAAGAAAGAATTTTGTCTAACCCTCTGGTCAACAGCAGTCATCGGTGTGTCAGGATGACTGTAACTACGTGGGCGATGGCGAACCTCCCCGTTTGTAAGCCGTTCATTGGCCACACTGTCCAACCCAGATGGTATGATGCACAAAACCTCCAACTGGAACTCCAGAATGTGGTAGGGAGGGGTGGGAGGTAAACTGATGCTGGTCACCTTTTCAGACGACTGGATGGACAGGATGCTTTCACCTACCACATCTGTTGACAGAATAGTGACAGTAAAGGCAACAATAAGACAACGTGCGCTAAATGTCTGCTTTTTGTAGGAACAAACAAAGCATTACATTGGAAATTGGCATTAGTTAACAAAAAATCTAAGTAAGTCAAAGTAAGTGGATCAAGTCTTAGTGATCCCTTTTATGAAATTAAGCTCCTGACCAGAAGTTTGGCAACTGATGCGGGCAGTGCAGCTGGTGGAGGGAAGGAAGGGCATAGTGTCTGTGTTGCTTAGTTGCAGTGCATCTCCTTTTTTCACAGCACAGTGACCAGTAAGAAGAGTAAACTTTATCATCTGAGGAAGACCAGCTAACAGAGGCTCTGAAAAAAGAAAAAGACGCATAAAAAAAGAAAACAAGCTATACTTGACAGACCGACAGATAGAGATATACATACACACACATACTACTTTAAAAATAACTAACAAAACAAATAAACTAAAGTATAAATACCTGAGACAGGGTCAACGGTGAGCTGGGGTTCCTGAGAATATACTTCATACCGGATAGTTGGGTAGATATGTGATTGAACAAACTGTATTTCACCTACTGTGGCGCACAGCTGTCGTAATGTGTAAGTACCTGGTTGTCCACTCTACAGAGAAAATTCAAGTAATTACAAGAGAGATTGACAAAAAGTTGAAAGGCATGAATACAAAAGGGATGTTTCGCATGACAGACAATTCAGAGATTGCAAAAACACAGCACAAAGGGAAATGGAAACTTTTAGTGAATAGATTTTCAAACAGGAGATTCAAATTCTTTAAACAACAGTTACTTTAACAACTCTGAATCTTACTGGTGCCGTGAAGATGATGCTGTTGTTTCCAGGTTTTAAAATGATATCTTGCACCTTTAGCATCTGCCCTCCTTCCTTCATGGCAACAGTGGAAGGGCTGACAGAGTTGGGTGTATTCGGTGGTGAAATGCTGTCATGGCAACGCATTACCAGGTGAGTGTTTTTACATACGACTCCTGTAGAATTGAGAAAATTGTCTGAAGGACTCCTGTCCTGAATCTCATCCAGCTCTAATGAAGGGCCAGCAGCAGCAGAGGAGCGAAGACCAACGGATGAGTTATCCTGGCTGAACTCCACTGTTCCAGCGTTTATTTGCCTTTGATCTAACTTGGACCTTCCATGAGTCCCCCCATGATCCACATCAAAGTGAATGCTTGCAGCTAGCTGCTGTATGCTCATGGAAATTGGCATTAAGCAGTTCATTGTGAGCTCAACCTGCAGAACAGCTCCAGAGTGCACGGAAGCTGTTGCTGGATGGAACTGTAATCGTGTGAGCTGAGCAAACACACCCATGCTGAGAGTCACTTTGTGAGCTGGAAAATGAAAAAAAACAAAACTGATTTTTTCACTTCTTTTGAGAACAATACATTTATCACTCATAGGCTGAGAGCAGAGCCTTTTAAATTGATGCGGTTTAGTTTGCCACATTTTGAAAGAGGTCATTTCCATTCTTGTCCTCTCCAGATTTGAAATCTAAATATTTCACATCAATTTAGGCACACAGACAAAACTGGAGACATTCAAATTAGATCTGGATGGTTACTGACTATACCACCAGAATGAAAAAAGTGTTGTATTATTCAAGTCTGTCATATAATAGAAAAAAACTGTTTTCCTTACATTGGTCTCCAGACTTTCCAGCAAAGTTGAGAATTTCCTGACAGAAATGCTCCCTCTCCTCAGTTGACAGGTTTGTGTCACCAGCCAATAAGGCACTGGTTTGCAGATAGCTGTAGTAGTGGTTTGTCAAGGAAATGGAGTACTTGAGTGTGGTAACACATAATAAATAAAGAGACCATTTATTCACTAATGAAGAGCGCTTTGGAGGAGTATTATGATGGTCCTGCTCGCATTAACCTCGACTGAAAAGATTACTACATCACCTACTCAGAGTTTAAAGGTGTCTATGTGATGATTTTTCCAATAAGTAAAATATCTTCAAATCAATATTTACTAACTTATTTATTGTAATGAGTGAGCTTACACAATTATCAGCTCTGTTAATCAAACGTTTTCCTGTGAATAAACTTGCAATTCCAAGCACATTTTACCTTGAGTTTTCTGAGAATGCTATAATGTTCTTTTTACAATGTGATATGGTTTTTATTTTTAACATTCTACTGTCTGCATCCAGTGAATGCAATTAAGGATTTTACGCTAACCCTAAAAAAATCAAATCCTACACCAAAACATGGCAGTGAGAGGTAAATTCTTTAGTTGATTTTTAAAAAAACACAACTGACGTTACATAGGCTAAAACCTGTTCATAAACAGGTTACTTTTTCATCACCCCCATTTATAAATAAATTGTTTAATGGTACAGTTATATTAGTACATTTCTCCCTTTATTCTCTCTCTATCCTCTGATCCTTGCATTGGTTAAGCACATGCTGAGTCTGCCCTAATGACTTTTCTTTTGGAATGCTTTAAAATCCCTCCAATTCATGGTTCAGCTGATAAGTTGTTGAAAATAAATTAATAGAAAAGAAGGAATCCTGCATAGAAAAAGGGGAAAATGTCACTGCAGTTACATGTTTGCATCTAAAGTGAAGGATACTCCTCAGTTCTTGCCTGCAGTTTCTGACACTCAGCAATTTGTCTCCTGGTGTGGGTCACAGGGAGGCGCCAACCCTCCGAAACATAAGACTTTAGAGCTTCTTGAAAGAAGGTTTCTGCCCGCTTGGGGTCCCCCTTCCTCCTATTAAACACACACAGATATAAACATAAAAACTGAATCTTTTTTTATTTCAAGTGCAAAAAGACCATCCAGTATTTTAGGTACAAAATATCTTTATAGACTTAGAAGTGCAATGTGTTGTACATATTTTAGTTGTGTTGTTGATGAAAGTGAAATCCCTGATGTGCAGAAGGAAATTTAAACTTCAGACACAATTTGCATGAGATGTAACACTAATCCTACATTGCCTGACATAACGTTCCTTGTTTTTGCACTCCAATTGGTCAATTGGCCATACTTCCCAAAAGTTTTTTTTTTCCTTTTTAACTACCTTATTTGGAGGTCTCATCCAAACTGGATTTTATAGTTAAAAGAACAGAAAAATAAACTGAAACAGTCGTTTCACTTTTCCTTACATGTAGAATTCAGCCAGACTTTTCCCCACCAGCCTGGCAGACCTCAGACGGCCGATAGCCTGATACATTTCCAAGGCAGCATGAGAGAGTTCCTGATGCGGGAAGAGAGGGAACCAACAATGTGTTGATAGAGAAAAAAGGGAAGATCAAGAGGAAAAAAGGAAAATCATATTAACTCTTCCCAGGACAGTACATGAAAAAAAAGAACAAGTGGGAAAATAATTAAGACTTCAACAACTAAAATATAATAAGCCGTTTCAATGACAAATACTTACAAGATAGTGCCTTTCAAAAGCTTCCACAGATGACAAAGCTTCTTTTAGCTTTTTATAAGGACTCTGCAGACTGTTGACTGTGGAGGATGACAAGAGATTTATCAACCTCACCATTTTACTGAGATAGCAATTTCTACTTTCCAATTAATCTGAAATGTACGATTAGTCAGCCAAGTCCCTGCAAAGGTGATTTAAAAGAACTTGTCGACACAAATGACCCCAATTTTTGAATCCCTGGTCTATATTAAGAGTGTGGCATCTCACCAGTCTCAGCTCTCTCATCCCCCAATCCTGCCAGCAGATCCACAGTCCTGTTCAAGTCCTCAGATGTGGGCCCTTTCTCTGATACCAGGCCACAGAGTTCCCCAAGAGACTTCAGCTAGAGAATGCAAAAGATGACGTAAAGAACAATATATATTTATTGTCTAAAAACAAGACACCTCCTTCTTTGACACTTTCATGCTGTATTTATCATATCCAATACATAGATTTCTGCATGCTATCGAATTGTCAAATTGAAAAAACTTGTAGAATATTTCCTATTTGTTTTAGGTGATAAAACTTTTTTTGTTTGTTTATCTACGTTGTTTAGTTTAAGAGCCAAACTGAAGCCAGACTTCAGATATAAAAAGCTATTTTTTAAATCTATCTGATCAGGAATTTTCAGGGTTTAATAAAAGTTAATAACTCAGTAAAACTACAAGAAAATAAACTCTTTGTGTTCTAACTGTATCATTACAACAGAACAATCTGTTATTTGTGTTAAAATAGGAGATGCATGTCATTTTTAAATACCTTGTCAGTGGCATAGGCCCAAAGGCCAACAGTGTGGGAGCAGTTTGAAGCTAACTGTGCCTGATCACAGCAACCTTCGATCCTGTGCAGAACCTCTAAGCAGCTTAGGAACACCCAACAGTCTAGTGCTCCTTCAACAACGGGAACCTCAACAAGAAAAAGAACAAAAAAAAAAAGTTTAATTTAAAGAAAAAGTTTGAAATACTGTATATGAGAAACAGCAATCTGGGAGCTCCCAGTACCTCCAGCAGATGTAGCTCCTGTATACAGTTGTGGAGTAGCTCTAAAGCTCTCTGAGTGACCTCCCAAGGTCTCTGGAGGAAGATGAGTAAAGTGCATTGACGAGAAAACAAGTAGCTCCTCAGGTCTAACAAGTTGGCCTCTCCACGTTGGATACTATCCCTCTTTTCCATGTCAATCGGTCGCCGTAGCAGTAAGCCACTCCAGTTACGTACCGGAGCGCAGAATGAGCCGAGCCAGTTCGCCATATCTTTAAACAGAAACAAACTAGTTAAAAACTAAAACTGCAGCATCCTTGTGGTCTTGTAAGATAAAAACACATGTACACATATTCCAGCTATAAAAAGACAGGTATAATGAAAGGTCCCATGGTATACATACCTCCTGCCCCAAAGTTAAGCACATATTGAGTAAAAAGAGCATCCAGTTCATCATACTGGACCAAGGCATCCTCAAACTGTTGTAGCATTTCAAAAACAAAAGCCAGCTCCTCCTGTACAATTACATACAAAGGGAAAATTGAACAGTTACTTTGACTGCAAACAGTCAGAGAAAAAACACGAAAACACAAATGACCCCATCAGTTGATTTAGTGTGAATTATGTTTCATGTTATCACAGAATCGGTGGAAATAAAACATAGAATCTTTTTAGCCCTCCCTCTACTTCTCTACAGAAAATCCATTCCCTAAATCACCATCCACCTGCCGGCAGTTACTTTTTTGTTTTTAGGTACCTGAACCATGAAGTATTCACAGAAGCTCCAGCCTGGTTGAGTACGTTTTTCTCGGAGAGTACGCATGTCATCTTCAAAGCGGCCCAGGTTCTTGGTGAACGACATTAGGAGGAGAGTTCTCAGCTTCAAGAGCAAAGAATTCCAGGATTCCACTGACCGAGATGAGTCCTTTAAAGGATCTGACAGAACTACACACCTGGATCACAGGGCAACAACCTTTACTTACACAGGGAAATTGAGTACATAATTAGCAAGCACAGCTTACGCTTCAAAGTGTAAAACGTTGTATTAACCTTTTACCTACTGAACCTAAAAAGAGGCATCCTCAGAATTCCTTTCCTACTCTGACCCATTTTACAGTTCTTGGTGGTCTTCTTGACATTAGAATGTGTGTAATAACACACATTTATAGACACACAAATACAAATATTGAATGCTATTATTTTGAAAAAACACGACTCCTTCACTCACTCTCCTTCTCCTCTCGCCTTCACTCTATTTCTCACTCATCTTTCCATCAAATTTGCAGTTTTAGTAATGCCGTTCCACATTACTACAATATTTAGCTTACATCGCATATTGCTAAAGAGCACACGTTCTCAGCTCTCTGAGTGTGGAACTTTTCAAAATGAGCTAACTTTGATGGAATTACAAGTACAATACTCCAGACATTGAAAAATAGCGCCTGCACTATTGCTGTAAAGAGTTCAAATAATTTGTTTTTTTTTTTTAAAGTATCTCTTGCTGTCTTGTGTGGCTCATGTACTTGTAAATTAGTTAAATGCAACAAAAATCTAATGCAATGCAAAGATCCTTTTTGCAATTTTCTTACTGACAATCATTCATCCACTTAATGATATCCTCTCTTTAAAAAAAAAGGGGGTTTCAGTTAGGTGTTGACCAAACAATAACGAGCAAGAATAAAAGGACTGCAATACTCAGCTCCTTCCAGATAGTTAACGATATCTTTGCGAAATGGTGAAGTCCAGGGAATGGTCAAAGAAGTCAAGAAAGAAGGTAATTTATCTTCATAAGCAAAGATATAAATAAAAAGTTATCAAAAACATTAAAACATTAAATGAAACACAACTGTAAGCATATTTCCCTTGTTTAAAGTTAAAGGCAAAGTGGAAATGCTAGCTGCACGCAGCAGAAAGAGGATGCTTCCAGTACCCTAGAGTGGGGAAAATCCCCAGTGAAGGTTTAAAAAAAAAATGCGATGGGACTTGACAAATCGAGGTAATCAGGTTTCAGCCCTGACAATAAAGCACACACTGCGAGATAAAGGCACTCCATGTCAGAACTTGTGGTGCAACTCGCTGATGACTCCAAAGCACAATAAGAGTCGACTCCAGTATGCCAAAAAGCAGGGGTCAGTCATGCTCTGTGGCTGTTTTACTTCTTCAGGTAAAGGGAATTTCCAGCGTATACAAGGGATCATGAATTCAATAAACAACTAGGAGATCTTGACTGCAGTCAGAAACAAAGCTTAAGCTTGGGAGACAGTGGACCTTCCAATACGACAACGATCCCAAGCATACCTCCAAACCCACCAGATCTTGGTTGGGCAGCACAAGCGCCCAACTTTAATCCTGTGGAAAATCTTTGGGGGTTCTTGATATGGATAGTTGCATCACGCAAGCCCAAGAACCTCAATGAACTGGATGCTTTTGACCATGAGGAATGGACAAAGATACGTGCAGATCGCTGCAAGAAGCTTGTGTCGAGCAATGTTTAACATCTGAAGGACTAAATTATTGCCATGGGGTGTTGCACCAAGGAAGTGTGCCACTAAGGGGTTGGAAAATGTTGTCAATGAGGTTATCGCAGAAAGGACATTTGTTGGTGTTTTACAAAAAAAGCTGTTGCAATTTTATTTGCATTTGTTTATTTTAGTTGCATTTTTGTCTAGTTCGTGTTTGATCAGATTATCAACTAAATAAAAAACCAGCGCAAATTTGCGAAACACTTTACTGCAGAGGGGTTGAATAATTTTGAAGACTACTGTAGGTGTATCTATGCCTGTTACATCCTATTGTTTATCTTAACACTTAGTATTCTCCAGACTTACTGGGTTTAGTGCTGAGAACTAAAGTCAAGGCAGTGCATGCCAACTTATTAATCAAACCATTATTTTAGCTCTACATTTTCTCACACTTAACATCATCCTTTACAGAGGCAGAATATACACACACACACACACACATAGATATGTATATATATATAGATATAGATATAGATGTATATATATATTGACTGTTAGAGCACCAAAGTAAGCACTTATTAGTGAGGGAAATCAGTGTTAGTAATTCTTATGCTTTTTATCAAAATTAGCTTAACAAGATGAAGCCTTCTAACCTGTCGTTCTGCTTGTTGCAAAAGTCACTGCGGATTTTGTCTACGATGGAAGACCGAGGCAGGATGTTCGTCTTGTTTTTTTTCTTTGTGTCACTGGTCTCGACAACAATGATGACCCAGTCTGCTGAGTTGTGGGTCCGCAGGCTGTTTTGCCAACGCATCATATCCTCCTTCACTGAGCTCTTATATACCTCTGTGTCCTACAACAAAGCAAAGTTCACATTTAAAGGAAAACACACTTTGTTCCCTTCCGTTTTTTAGATTACTGCATTGCACAATGGGCCTATGGGAATCACAGTTTGCTCTAAATCTAATATGCCGCATGAAGACCAGATAAAAATGGGCAAAGGAGACATTTTTAACTTTTTTCTGCAAATTTATACATTCAAATAGATTGTGACTGAAAGTCTTTTCACCCAAGGTTTGGGCTAATAATATAACTATAATGGATAAGTTGATCTGCAAAAGCTTTTTAACTTAATAATATCAGCTTGCAGATAGTTGTTTTGAGTGAGTCGTTTGGCCTTTTGCTACTAGTACCTACACAGGTACCTGGCTTGACTTGTTTACATTTCCATTAGAGCCTGATAACTTCGATAAGCTTCCAAGCGAGTTGAATTGAGCCACAGGCCACTGACTGGACAGGGAGTCCTGTGACTGAATGAGCCATGAAATAAGATAAATAAGAGCAATACTAGCTTTAAAAACGCAGAATCAAAGAGAATTTGATTGCATATTTTTGTGCTCATCAACAGGGCAAATGATTATACTGAAATCAACACAGTGATCAGTTAGTCGCTGCAATGTCCTTCATTCTTGTGTCACATTCAAATTACATCACAGGACTTTCAGGCTGTCTTGCTGTTGACAATCACAGAAATAATTAACTTTCATGTTGCTGCATTGTTTTTAAATTGGTTGGATTTGTATGAAGGAATTGCTTTCATGACTCATCAAATGATATCGCTCCCTGGCCAATCAAGGGCCTGCAGTCGGCCTCACTCAGCTTGCTCGGAAAACTCAAGTAGGTGCTAAAATTTAGATTGTTGGTGCTAGCTCCAGATAGAAAAGCGGAAAAAAAATCTACTTGAGGAGCTGCGTGGAAAAGGGCCATGTGGTTCTCTACTTCGACCAGAATACTACTACTACCACTACTACAAACAAGACAATCAGCTTTACAAAAACAGGCTCTCCTTCATGGTTGTGTCCATTCTGAAACATCATGAGTCAGGAAACGAGTAAAGCCCTTCCCTTAACTATGCTGCCAAGTCAGCAGCAGATAGATCGGACGCTTTTATCAGTTTTTTCCAACCTGCTTTCTCTGTTCATTCCTTAAAATGACTGGAGCATCCCAAAAAATTATTCACTAAGTCCTCAACAAATATTCTATAAGACATTTTCATAATACGTGCTCAGACATTGCGAGATCCTAACTGTATTTTTGACAAAGAATGATTAGTCTACAAACATTTTACTTAGATTTCTAAGTAAAACTTTTATAGATTCTCATGCATATTTCAATAAGAAGCTTAGTGTTGCTACTAAGGAAAATCTATGTGCATTCTAATTTTAGATGAAATCATTAGATGAAAAAAAAAGGTAAAGTTTTATAACACGTGATTGGAGTTTTGCACTTAATACGAAAGATACCACATTAAACAATGGGACTTATGAGACCTGCGTTTAAAGATCCTCTAATCTCTGCCTTGGCAAACTGCAGATGATTTAATATGTAAATTGTCATGTACACTTTAGTTCATTAGTCTTGAGAAAGAGAAATGTGCATATTCATTTGATGTAAATCATTATGACATAAAGGTCTTAAATCAATCAAGAAGACCCTTAATTTTGTTTTGTTTCATTAACATTCATTTTTGGGGTTATTTGTACACAATGTTCCAGCAAATCAAAGTATTAGCGTGTGCGTGTTTGCAATCTACTCACACAGCAGTCCGTCCAATAGATGTGAAGGAAAGGAAAGGTGAGAAGAGCCTTGTTACCCTCTTTAGGAAGGAGCTCCTCTTTAAACTGGACAAAATTAGCTTCTAAGTGGATCATTTTCGGTGCACGGCCATAGGTTCTGCATAGAGTACAAAACTGAGGGTTAAAAATCAGTACTGTGTTGTTTGCAAAGTACAATTATTAAACGACCTGGTAACATGACATTTTCACACAAGTAAATGTGACGTAAAACTATCAAATCGCATTTCTCGGTCAATTCAGACTGAACTGTATGTAAAAGATGCTTGATTATGGCCTCTTTTAAAAGTTACTTTTTGATCAGGATTACAGTACTTAATCACTGGAAAAACAGAGTTGTCTGTCTGAATTGTCTAAAAAACAGGTAGTGCTGAGCCTGATACTGCTCCAATTTTTATGACAGCCTCTGCATAAACCAAAAATATTTCACCACAATAATCCAAACAACTAGTGTTTTCACCCCTGTGCTGTTTGAATAAAACTTTACATCCATACACTGTTGTCCATATTCTTACCACCATATATGCAACAAATATTTCTTATTAATTGGTAACCTGCACAAACTGCACTGATGTAAATTTTTTTTAGTTTTATACTTTTTTAGTTTTATACTGCTTCTTTTTAAAAACTTTTGCCTAAAAGCTCAATTTTTAAAAATATGCTCATGATGACATTTTCCAAAAGATCTTATTTAATCAAAATCATAGTGCAAATCTCACCGTCTCCATTCCATTGGTTCCCTAGGAAGTTGTTGAACCAATGAGGTATAGAGAGATGTGAACAAGCCCTGATCTCCTGCACCTGCAAAAGAAAGATAAAAATGAAAAACTAAAACAAAGAGAAGCAGCATAGGCAAGATAAATACTCTCCAATTATTTGGAAAGTTTGTTTATAGTTATGATAATGTGAATGCAAAATATTGTGTATACAAACACATAGAAAAAAAGTCTCAAGAACAATCTGAAGTAAACAATCATGCCATAGTACAATACGTTTACCCTTAAAAACACATGAATGCCCTAAAGATTCCAAAGACACAGTTAACTTTGAAAGTAAAAGCAAGAGAAAACATTGCTTTGGGACAAAAATGTGGTCTGTGTCCATAACGGATACAGTTGTAAAAACTTTGTAAAACTAGATAATGTTTCTTCAAACTAATAAACTCCTCATCTGTTAATTATAGTTTAAGATCAACATAAGGATTTCACCATGATCAATCTATTCACCACAATGTCGTCCGTTTGTATAGCTTTCCTTTTGTCTTTGCTACTCAGTGACGCAAAAATATGCTGATAGAAAAACCTGGAAGAGAGGCCTGCATGTCATCTCCTTCATGTTTCCATCCACGTCTAATTTTACATTGAGACAGTGCTTTAAGATGGGGACGTTTGACCAAATTGGATATGCGACAAACAGCAAAGTGGTCAGAATTCCTCAAATTTCCACATAATGTGATACATATCTACACATCTTTTCTATCCTACAAGCCAACAAAACTCAACTCCAGCACCGGCAAAACAAATGTGATGTTTGAATGATTACCACACCTCACCACTGTAAAACAACGATTAAAATGGGCTGTGACCTGATTAGTAAATCCTACACAGAGCTTCAAGAAAAAGTTTAACTTCTTATGTTTTTATGAAAGCAGGAGCAGCATGTTAAACACCACCGTTCAAAAGCAAGCCTTGCATTCATAAGCTTGAAAAAAGGATGAGCCATTTCAGTAGCTCATCCAAAAAGAAAAAAAACACGCTCTTCACCTCACTCTCCAACTAATTTAAAGGCATTTAAATAGCAGAAAAAACAGGAATACTCTCACGCAGAATGCAAGATTAAGTCATTAACAATTATTAATAATACGACCATACAATTATTTAATCTAATAATAATACAATATAATTCACCAGCCTAGAGGGGGCATTTTACAACTATTACTTTGAAACTGTCACTCCATGATTTCACACAAAGACCACCATTTATATTTTCTTACAAACATATTTTGATCACTGGCACATACAAATTCAGCAACTTTTCCATGTCAGCCATTTTTTGCAGTCTTTATCGATTTTACTGGAAGGATTTGACAGTTTTAGAAGCCCTTTTACATCCTTCCATCCTCGACCTGCTTATTCCAAGCTGGGTTGGTGCCTATCCAAGCTGCCATCGGAAGACAGGCAGGGTGCACCCTGGACAAGTCACCAGGGTCACAAAGAGAGAAATAAGTCCGATATCCATGCACATTCACACCCATGGCCAACTGAAAATATCCAATTAACCTAACATGCACGTTTTCAGTCAGGAGGAGGAAGCTGGACTTCCCCAAGAGAACCAACACAAACAAAGGGAGAACAAAATGTGAAAAAAGGTACTCACTTACTTGCCGATAAATGTACATCATGCTACCTTGTGTCGGTTATATCTCAGACAAACTAAATTCCGCTCTTGGATGACAGCAAATGTCTTAATCAAAATTTAAAAATATGAAAAAAACAGACTGTGTTTTAAAGCAGCCACTGCAATATGAGTATACTCCCTGCATTAGTGCTTCACACTTATAAATATGCAGGGTTTCTTTGGGATTCTGGCAGGCACATTTAATTATGGAACATACCATATAAAATTTGCAAGTTGGTTAACTTATAATGTTAACAGAGTACAACTATGGCAAGACACCAGACAACCCATTAACCAGGAAAAGTGTCAACAGGGAAATTCTTTGTCTTAGTTTTCTAATAAACCACCATATGCCTAAACTTAACTGGAAGATATTTCAGTTTTAATTCGGACTTCGGTGCCCTGTGTACAAAGGGTGGGTACTGAAGATGGAGCAATCTGTGGTGCAAAACGACCCATTCCTAAAATATCTCATTTTAACTGGCTTTAAATAGATACCAAAGGGTTTCGGAATGGCAACCTGATCCAGCTCCAAAATATCATGTCGGAATGTCATGTTGTAAACTGCTAACAGAAAAAAAAACAATGGCAATGCAACAAGAAGCAATATAAACTGCAGCAACGAGCAGTGACGTTATATGCTAGCTAGGATTCCTAATCAGTAAAGCTAATGGCTAGTCGAGAAACATAACACTTTCAGGTATATCTGAGCATGAACAGTAATGTATTCAGCATAGGAGAATTGAAATTTCATAAATGAAAGAGTACAAATGAGCTAAAAATTAAGAAAGGTTGTGTTTCCGAGCACAACTGACTGACAGCTAGTTTATCTTAAAGGGGCTAATGAACGTAGCGAGCAAGCTAACTGTAAAAAAAAACAAAACATTAGAATTAATGTCGCTTTTTAACAAATACTCACATGTCACAATCGGCTTGTTTTCCATTGTATAAATTATTGGCTTTTCCTCTTGACACTCCATATGTGTCAACGGTAGTACTCCATGAAAATGACTTACAAGCGAGGCTTTATTATTTGTAAGTGATTATGTATGCAGCTATAGTGTATCGATAGGGCCTGTAAACTCCGCCGCACTTCCGGGATGTGCGTAGACTATGCGTCATCAAAGCGCTAACCTGTGACTTCTGGAGGAGGTGCGAAGGGTGCAATTGGCGTGAATAAAGGAAATCTAATATTGATATTCTATTCAAAAGTAGAAATGTAACCCCTAAGTAAATTAAGCTATGACACATGAATGACATTCAAGACTTCTATCTAGTTAACAAAGCTTTCTGAAACACTAAATCAATAATTATCTATGTATGTATGTATGTATGTATGTATGTATGTATGTATGTATGTAT